GGTGGGAGGGGTGGGAAAGGCATGGGAAATCCATCTGAAACAGGCAGGGATGGTGGGGCATGCATGATAGGGGCTAGTAGGATGGTGGGGTGGGTTCTGGGTATGGTGGGGGCCTAAAAATGGGTTGGGCGGAGCTAGATATGCATGCTAATAATTGTCATGGCCCCCATGGGGTGCGGGATGGGCTGGGGGAGCCAAAAACACGAAAAATCCAGAGTCTTTTGCATTTTTAATACAAAACAATTGAATATCAAATCGAAAACTTAATATTTTGGTGTGAAACTTTGAGGACCTGTTTATCTATAGTGGGGGGGGGTGCTTCAGGAATATTTTGAGCATTTATTATGAATTATGGGGTGCGCCACACAGCCAGGAATAGTGTGCGCGGTGGGGTTTGATGTGCTATGCCAAATTTGGCAATATTTTGATGCCTGCACATCCGTGCATAATTCCGGCTCCCCCTCACATTATCTCACTTAGCTTTGGCTGAGCGAGTTGTTGTTCACATTGATGCCTTCTTGTAGACCCTTATATCATGTGAAATGGATGAGAATTCGTTGAGATATGGCAAACACAAATGTGGCGACTATAATGCATGGTGCACCCATGCATCCTTGGGCATGTTTAGGGCCATCTAACTTGGCCAAAATTCATGGAATACATTTCTGAAAGTAATAGTACCATTGATAATGCCAGGGGGTGTCTGTGTGTAGTAGATCTGAGGGGGGGTATAGGTACACCAGGAGACCCACTCTGGATACCCCACTAAATGTACCTCTGAAAGTCTGAAAGTTGGTATGTAGATAGAACATACTTATTCATGAATTTAACATATTTTAACATATTTTTATATTGCCTGGAAGTTGGGTTATTGACTGATTTCCCATGAGCTCAGATATTCTATTGACCTCCAGGAGGGGGGTTATTGGCCTATGTAAAATTATGATAAATGATGATAAATGTATAGAAACATATTGAGGTACTTGCAAGAGCAAGGGGATGATTCTGTGTAAAGTTATTAAGAGGAGAAGGATGAGGTAGTCCCCCCATCAGTATCTATGTAAATACTTGCCAAATCTGCATATCGCACCCATTCAACAGTGCGTTCAGGTCAGAGTAGTGTCCCTTAGCATATTTCAGTAGTGACAGGTGAGGCTCTGATGCCTGGGGGAAATGTTATTAGAGAAAGACCTGAAAATGCGCAAAAAACCGGAAAATAATTAAAATGGGTACCTCGGACTTGTTCAAAATTACCAAACTTTGTTTATGAGGAGCTATTAGCACTCTGAGGAGACTGCAAAAGACTGGATGAGATTCCAAGCAGTAGGTGGAAAGATATGCAAAATGAACTCCCAAAGCACCAGAGGCAACACAAAGTTGCAACAGGAAGGTGAGGCTATTGCTGTCATTGTGATACCCTTTTGCATATCTTTCCACCTACTGCTTGGAATCTCATCCAGTCTTTTGCAGTCTCCTCAGAGTGCTAATAGCTCCTCATAAACAAAGTTTGGTAATTTTGAACAAGTCCGAGGTACCCATTTTAATTATTTTCCGGTTTTTTGCGCATTTTCAGGTCTTTCTCTAATAACATTTCCCCCAGGCATCAGAGCCTCACCTGTCACTACTGAAATATGCTAAGGGACACTACTCTGACCTGAACGCACTGTTGAATGGGTGCGATATGCAGATTTGGCAAGTATTTACATAGATACTGATGGGGGGACTACCTCATCCTTCTCCTCTTAATAACTTTACACAGAATCATCCCCTTGCTCTTGCAAGTACCTCAATATGTTTCTATACATTTATCATCATTTATCATAATTTTACATAGGCCAATAACCCCCCTCCTGGAGGTCAATAGAATATCTGAGCTCATGGGAAATCAGTCAATAACCCAACTTCCAGGCAATATAAAAATATGTTAAAATATGTTAAATTCATGAATAAGTATGTTCTATCTACATACCAACTTTCAGACTTTCAGAGGTACATTTAGTGGGGTATCCAGAGTGGGTCTCCTGGTGTACCTATACCCCCCCTCAGATCTACTACACACAGACACCCCCTGGCATTATCAATGGTACTATTACTTTCAGAAATGTATTCCATGAATTTTGGCCAAGTTAGATGGCCCTAAACATGCCCAAGGATGCATGGGTGCACCATGCATTATAGTCGCCACATTTGTGTTTGCCATATCTCAACGAATTCTCATCCATTTCACATGATATAAGGGTCTACAAGAAGGCATCAATGTGAACAACAACTCGCTCAGCCAAAGCTAAGTGAGATAATGTGAGGGGGAGCCGGAATTATGCACGGATGTGCAGGCATCAAAATATTGCCAAATTTGGCATAGCACATCAACTATTCCTGGCT